GAGAGGCGGAGACTGTAGATCTCACCGATCTCTAGTCTGAATGATTTGGGTTGTGGATGGGACACCAGAGACATTGCCATGTCCCCTTTCTGCTGTTTGAAAGTGGATCTTATTGCAGAAGGTGAGGGTTTGGGAAACCTTCAGGATGAGTGGCCGGGTGGCACCGTCTGTGCCTGGCTCCCTCCCATTTTGGTGGAGCAGTCACTGGCCTCTTATACAGGAAATAACCTGAGGGAGACCCTGTGAGCCTCCTTCATGGTATGGGACTTGTAGACCACATGTTAAGGACATACGTCAATAAGAGATTCTGGAATGACTCATGATTTCTGGAGCTGGAAGTGACTTTGGAGGTGATTGAGCCAACTTGGTCATTTCCAGTGAAGCAGACACATGGAAATGAACTTGCCCAAAGCCAAAGAGTGGGTCAACAGGGAGCTAGGGGTGGGGGGAGGGGATAAAAACATCTAATAAAGTCAGGACTCCTGAATACTTCTGCAATACTCAGTTCCATCATGGCCGGGCCATTGTCACTATCGGAGTGTTTGTTTTGTTTCTCTCTTCCTTTATTTCACACAGTACAGAACTTCACTGACTATTCCTTCTTAGATTTTTCTAGCCTTTCCTCCCCATAGAAACTTTAAATTACTCACACCTTTTCTTATTCCAGCAATTTAGTAACAGCCTTGTGTTGCTTGAATATCTCTTAGGGTTCTCACTCTCTATTCAAAATGGGTAATAAAGGAATTTTCTCAAAAGCAATTTAGATGAATTAAATGTAATCTAAATATACAAGTACTATTCTTCTTCTGACCCAATAATGTTGATACAGCGAGTGGAACCAAGCATTTATTTTTTGAACCTGATAGAATCCCTAGACCTCCCCATCAATTCTTTGGAGCAAGGATGTGGAAAGTGCAAAGTTCTTGAGGTGAGCACGCACCTGGTGTTTCTGAAGGGGCAGTGTCTAAAGACACATTGGGGCTGGGATAGGGAGAGGAGAAGACGATGTTGTCTGAGGTGTCTGGGGGCTAGATTATAAAAGGAATTGAGACCGTTTAAGGACTTGAGGCTTATCCTGAGTGAGATGGGAAGACTTTGAGCAAAGGGAAGATGGGACCTCACTTGTATTTTATCAGGATCTCTCTGGCCACCTGCCATGTTAAGAATCAACTGAAAATGGACAGAGGAAGAAATGGGGAGAATGGTGAAGAGGCTGAGGCAATAGTCCAGGAGAGAGAGAATGGTGGGTTGGACTGTTGGGAGGCAACATTGCTGCTCACTCAGGATGAAACCTGGGAGGCTGGTTAGACACTTCTTTCACTTCCCCACGTTCAATCAATTTGAAGGCCCAATGTATCAGTCAGGGTCTCTCCAGAAAACAGAATTCATCCCACATGCTTTATTTTAAGGGACCCTAAAGAAGACCTCACAGAGTTTGGGTACAGTTAAAAGAATGAAGGGAGAAGAGAAGGCACCAAAGACAAGAAACAGCAGGAAGGAATGCGTAGAGAATATCATGTTAATATTACTGGAGCCCAATAAGAGCAGGAATCTTGGAAGAGGTGCTCCTCGGAGTGGAATTGTGGAAGAAGCAGCCATTGCCAGAGGCTGTGCCCATGCAGAGAAAGGATAGGAGAAGAAATTCTTTGCCCTTTCTCTCTTTACAGTCTCTAATCCTCCAAACAATCCTGAATGGTTTGCTTTATTACACCAAATGTAAAGGGGAGTTGAGATTTTCCAGAATCACAGTTGACAAATGACCAAATCAAGTCCAGTGCTCAGATCTGCTGCTTCTTAGGACTACTATGCTCTTTCCTTTAAACCATAGGGTCCTCCCTTCTGAAAGAAACAATCAAATGCAACTTGCCTTTGGCTCACAGGGATGACGAACAGGGAAGGTTGAAAGTATAAATGGGTGAGAAGATGTAGTATCTGCTCAGTCCCTTTCTTCCCCTCCAGGGAGAATAAAAGAACTGACAATGGATATAAATCTCAACCTTGGATTGATCAGTTTTCTTTTTCTGATGGTGTTGCCATTATTTTTCCTGATGTTTTATGTAGCTTTCGTTACCTAGATCATCTTTTAATAAAAGATGAAGGCTGGGACTTCTGGTTTCTAGTCTGACATGAAAAGAGCTTGAAAGTTGCCACACCTATTCCTACAATAAGAAATCAGCTGAGCAAACCCAAAATCAACAAATATTCCTAGATTCTTCAGAGATTTGAGGTCACCAGGACAGCTGCTGCCCCCAAATTTGGGGAGACAGGCAAAAACAGAGTCACAGCTTTCCAGCAGGAGAAATACAATAGTCACTGATGAATTGCTGGATACACAACGTGGACTAACTGGACGGCTGAAAACTCCATGGGGCCCAGTGCTGGGGGAGAGGCCCCACACTTTCGTGAGGTTTACCTCCAAAAGTCCTGCCAGGTTCTCAGGGTAAAGATCAGAGAAAAATCTCCTTGGGTTTCTGGTTGGGGAAGGTTAAAATAACCATTCCGAAATACTCCCAAGAGCATTTTATTGTCTTTAACCAAAGTCTGCCCTCAAGGAAAACTACTTTACCAGAGTCTAACCTATTTGGGTTTCATCAGAGCCTAACCAACCTGGGTTAAGGGATATACCCAACTCCACCTTCCTCTAGCCCTCCATGTGGGAGATGGAATATTCAGCTACAGCTCCCTCTAGCCTTCCTGCCTCACCTAAGTTGGGGTGGGGGCTAAGAAGCACCTGTCATGCTCACAGGTGAAGGGCATAGGCCGACTAAAGGACTGAGACCTAATAATGAGACGTTAGAATGTTTCCCCTCCACCCCACTCTACCATCACATCAGTAAGGCTCCCGTCTAACAGGGTATTACAGTGACAGAACTGTAAACTTCAGACCCTATTTGAGAAGCAGTCTCTAGGCAGACCAAAGGACAACAGGGGAGACCAAAACAAGGATACTAGAGGAAAGTTTAGCCTTTGACACAAATACCTACGGCAAACAGTAAATGTGGCTTAACTTCTAGCCAGATAAACAGAATTCCTCACAAAAAAAGGCCTATTTACTTCAGTCCCTTTTATGCTATGTCCAGCTATCAACAAAGAATTACAATGTATGTTAAAAAGGCAAAAAGCACGGCATAAAGAGAGAAAGCAAGCAATGAAATAAGACTTCAATACAGCAGAGATTTTGGAATTATCAGGTCAGAAATTCAAAATAACTATGACTAACATTCTAAGGACTCTAATGGAAAAAGTGGACAAAATAAAGGGGCAATATAAGCAAAGAGATGGAACCTTTAAGAAAGAATCAAAAGGAAATGCTAGACATCAAAAATGCCACAATAGAAATGACGATTGTCTCCAAAAGTCTCATCAGAGGACTGGGCAAGGCTGGGGGAAAAGTCAGTAGCTTGAGGATATGTCAATAGAAACTTCCCAAACTGAAAAGCAAAGAGAAAAAAGAATGAAAAAAAAAAAAAGGCATAGAATATCCAAAAATTGTGGGACAACTCCAAAAGGGTTAATATACACGTAATTGAAATACTATAAAAAGAAGCAAGAGAGAAAGGAACAGAAGAAATATTTGAAGTTTAAATAATGACTGAGATTCTTCCAAAATTAGTGACAGATACCAAATCATAGATCCAGGAACTCAGAGAATACCAGGCACAATAAATATCAAAACATCTCTGTACCTAGGCATATCATATTCAAACTGCAGCAAATCAAAGAAAAATCTTGAAAGAAGACAGAAAAGGGAAAAGTGGGGGTTGGAGGGAACCCAACTTATCTAAAGAGGAACAAGGATAAGAATTACACTGGGCTTCTCTTCGGAAGCTATGCAAACAAGAGGAGCATGGAATGAAATATTTAAAATGTTGAAGGGTGAAGACTCAGGCTCCATCCACTCTTCTTTGTTGCAGAAGACACTGGTTGAGATATTAGTCTTTCAGCCCTGCTGTTCTGCTTATGCGTGCTATGCTATAGACAGCTCAACTCAAACTCTCCCAGTTTGAGTGCCAGCATCTTCCATTAAGCCCAATATATTTCAAGCATTTTGCGGATCAATATCCTCAGGTTGTCAGAAAGAATAGTCATGAGAGATACACGGTATGGATGGCAAGGGAGAAGGTGCTCAAATAAGCCGATCCATATTGCCAGTGAGATGATTGGATGGGAAGAGCCAAACAAGTGTGGAATCCCTGGAGATCAGGCTGTTGGGTCCTTAGAATTTACCTATTTGAACTCCTCACTCAGAAAGATGAAGAAACAAAACCTTGCTCTGTATCACATGGAGGCTGGTGACTGAGCTGAGATTAAAATTTGAGTCATCTAACTCCCAGTATTGTACCTTGTTGTCTTCAGCCAACTTGTTGCCTAGAAAGACTTCATAGCAAAGAATTCTTGCAAATGTGATCAGAGTTCATAGATTCCCTTTGCCCTGGTTTTCCCATAGTATCATTGACCATCTGTCTTCCCTCTTAGCTCTTAATCTTACGATTTTAATATCCTTTTCCTAGAAACCATAGCAAGTATAATAATCTTCTTGAATCAAAGTCCATTGACTTTATCCCAACATTTATAATATAGTTTTAATTCATTCACTATTTTATTAAAGCTAATTATTATGAACGGCTGGCAGGGAATAGTATTTGTTTGGATTTCTGAATACACTATAGGCAGTTTGGAAAAACTGATGATTCTGGGTCCAGAATTCAGAGGAAATGATACTGTGAAGAATATTATTAATATATGAAGCCACTGAAGTTGGATTTGAATAACTGCTAGCATTTTATCTTTTTTGTGGAATTTATTTTCTCCTGCCCTCAAAGAGACTGCCATTCATAAAATTAATTTTTCTCCTGCCCCAAATGAAACTGCCGTTTGTAAAAGCAGTGCCTTTCAGCAAATTTGACAATAGACTTCTACACCCATATTGGCAACACAAAATCAGCACTTCCGACATAAAAAAGGAACTAGTTGTTCTCGGAAATTTTCAGCACAGCCTTTAGGGTTTCAAAAAGAAGAGGATTGCAGATTTAAATTGAGTAAGGTGTGGAGTGCGGGAAGGTGACTGTATCTGGACCCTCTAAAGAACCCTGAGGCATTTGCCCAGAGCCTCATACTCATCAGACACACAGCAGACATTGCAGGCTTGAAGAAAGGTAGGTCCAGGGAAATGCCTTCCCAGGCTTTTGGGTTAATGGTTCTTTTCTTTTTTTCCATTTCCTGATTCTAGGATTTCTGGGGGTAGAATGAGAAAAATTGAGACCACTTCCCATGGGCAAGCTTGCATTCTGGGTTGGAGGTGGTTTGAGAGCACCTTTAGATGCATCCTTGGTGGTGGGGGGTGAGGAAGAGTCTTTGATGCAGAGCATCAAAGGGGAATTAAGGAAGAATTAGGGGAATCAGGGAAGAATCCTAAAGGCTGAAGCTGGGTATTAGATGAGGTTGTTTTACTTATTTTTGTTCTCTAAATTCCCAGTCTATCAAAAACATGAAAGCAATATTTTAAACTTTTTACTAATTATCTCATCTACTCTTAATGTTCCTTCTTCTATGGTCTTTATTCTCTGAACTGCTATTTTTATAATTCAACATTTAAGATAAGACCTGCCCCTTGCAGAATTTGGTGGAGATGGAGTGGGGTGCAGGCCAGGTCGCCAGTCTTGTGCATTTAGACTGGTCTGGGGACAGACAGTGGCCTGACCGAGTTCTCCAGTGGTCTTTGGCACCATTCATGGGGCACCCAGGCTGTAAACTGAAGCTGCTCGTGAAGAAGTCTACCGGTGAAGGACCTTGAGGACTTCTAGCATTCTTGGGATAAGAAAAAAGCTTGGTGTAATCTTTCCTCAGATGAGGTAAATGAAACCCAGAAAAGGGAAATAGCATACCTAGAAGCACAAAAATTGACAAAAAATCTAGGAGCTAAAAATCCCAGACTTCTTGGTTCTTAGTCCAGGCCTTTTCCCTGCCGAGGTCACCATTTCTACATCACAGTCATCATCCTCCAACAAAGCATCCAGGTTCAGGCCTCCATTTGGGGGTTTCTGGTCTATTTTATAAGTTTGCAAAAGAAGGAAAGGCTGGCCCTTCACACCACTCTCCTCCTGCCCCTCCTTGATGACTGTGACCCATGAGGGGGTTGGTGATATAAAAATAAGGAAACAAAAGATTGGCAGTGACGTGGACCCATAAGGAGACTGGAGCCAATAGAAGAGCGAGGAATGGTTGTCTCGGTTTCTCCTTCTCTTTTCAAGGAGCAAAAAAATAAATAAAAATAAATAATAATAATAATAATAATAAAAAGACACCAGTTGTCAATAGCCTGATATGTGTCACATCGATGTGACAAAACTAAGGTTTAGACTCTTCCCCATCCTGGAAGAAATGTCCTTTATATCTGTCCAATATGCTCTTTAGTTTTCCTTGATACTTGAAAATAGGGAAGCTGAGCAATGGATAGCAAACACACAATTTTGTCCTTGGGGAATGTACCTGTCTTAGGTAATTAACACACGGGTTTCTGTGGGGTGAAGCTAGAAGGCAGTTATATAAATTTATGGCCAGAGTTTCTTATAAAGACAGAACACCAGAACCTGACCCATGTCACCAGAGAATTATGGAAAGACTGTAAGTGTCACTTGTGTACATCCTCAATCACTGATATCCACAGTAATAACCACTATTATTTTCCTAAGAAAGACTGTTTGAGGCAGCCACTGTTTTTTCAGCAAATTTCAAAATAGACATCCACATCTCTATTGGCAACACAACATCAGTTAGCCCTTCCAACATATGAAAGGAATTAGTTGGGTTTCTCAGAAATTCTCAGCACAGTCTTTAGGGTTTCAAAAAAAACTGCTAGGAGAAATAATGATATAATTTGATATAATGTATTCCCCCTGAAGAAGTTTACAGTCTTACTAGAGAGACGCTCAAGGCAGAAGAGTCACCAGGCATGTTCAATAAGACAGAATTTACATTTCCAAAATCCTAGGCCTGAAGGATATCTGAGACATCAAGGCGGAGGTTCCTTTACATTAGAAATGAAAGTACACATTTAGTTGGACTAAGAGGAATCATCTTTAGTTAAGTTTACAACAACTTTGGCCTCTGTGGTGCAAAAGGGAAATAACAGAGATTTCATAAACCCTTACTTGCCAACGCTGGTTTAGTGTTCCAGATGTGGGGACTGAGGGAGGCAGGGAATTGCATCAGAGAAGACAGAGACTTCTTCTATATGATTAGTGTAGGACAATTAGATGCTGGGTGGGTTTTTTTTGTTATTCTTGTTGCATGGTGGCCATGGGAGGGGTGGAATATTCCTGCAAATGGGTCCAACCTATGCAAATGTCCCAATATAGAAATGAAATTCCTGCTCTGAAAGAACTGAGATAAGTCAAGTATATTTGTCTTTTTTTTTTTTTTTTAAGATAGGATCTTGCTCTGCTGCCCAGGCTAGAGTGCAGTGGCACGATCTTGGCTCACCGCTGCCTCTAACTCCTGGGCTCAAGTGATCCGTCTGCCTCAGCCTCCCAAGTATTATAGCTAGGACTACAGGTATGCACCATCATTCCTGGCCAGTTCTTTATTTTTTAATATTCCTGTAGAGACGGTATCTTGCTATGTTGCGGGGCTTTAAAAATGAAAAAGAGAAGGCCAGGCATGGTGGCTTTGGGAGGCTGAGGTGGGAGGATTGCAATACAGCAAGACTCTGTCTCTACAGAAAATTGTAAAAATTAGCCAGGCATGGTGGTATGGACTGTAGTCCTAGCTATTCAGGAGGATGAAGTGGGAGGATCTCTTGAGCCCAGGAATTAGAGGGTACAGTGAGCTAGGGTCACACCACTGCACCCCAGCCTTGGTAACAGACCAAGATTGTGTCTCTAAATAAAAAAATATTAATAAATAGGAAAGAGATTCAAGGAAAGGTTAGGATAATAGATGTGGACTGAAGTAACAGACTTTCTCTTATCAACAACATTAAAAATTTGGACTTTATACTAACAATGGTAGAATACAAGGGAAGGATTTTAAAGAGGAGGGTGACACAATTATTTTTGCATTTTTGGCATAATTATCCTGGCTACAAAATGAGGGATGCATTGGACATTCAAGGCCACAAAATGGACACAGGGGAACATTAAGAGGCTATGACAATACCCTTGATAAAAATAGGATGATGGCTTGGTTTGAGGAGGGGAGAAAACTATATAGAGTGGAAAAGTGGTTGTGTAGGATAGAATATAATTGGACATGGAGGGTAGGTAACAGAGGGCATCAATGACAAACTACTAGATATTTAACACGAACAACTCAGTTAATTGTTGAACCTTCCACAAAAAAACTGCACTTGTATTCACATTGCCATCTTATGGCTCTTGTTACCTTTAGCTTTGGCCACTTTTGTAGGGTTCTGAAATAATCTCTACATACTTTTCCTTGTACCACATTACTTTTTTGAAAAAGAAATTTTGAGGAAGACTGGATATCTTCGACTTAGGTCTTCTAATATTTGAAATAAAGATTACCTCTTCTCCCTTCTGGAACAAGTTGCTAAGTTATCAAATTATGGGCTTTATTACGATGACTGTAAATTAAGCTCAGAGGAAGATAGTTCTCCCAAATATAACAGGATTGGAGGGTATGGATTAGATTTAAAACAAAAAATGAGGCCTCCTATTTTATTCTATCTCTTTTCTCTGAGCCTACATCTTGTGTTCTGCTCAGAGGATGCTGAAGTCTACAGAGAGGTCTGCATACACCTACTGAATGGCATGTACTATGTAACCTTCCTACAAGCCCTATTATCATCAGAAAAGAGATGGCAAGATAAAGAGGAAGGCTTCTTTGACCGACTCTACATAGTCCTGTATCTAGCTTATTCTTTGAGAGCAAAAATTTTAGGACAACCCTGATTCTTCTGACCAACCTTTGAGATAAATCACAAAAGAGAGGAAGACTCAACCACTGACCACATGAGCCCTGTGAATACCATGCTCTGACCAATCCTATAGGCAGGCCCCTCTTCTCAATCTCCCCACTTCCCCAAGACAGGAGTGGATTTGGAGCAGGAGAATGCCAGGACTAACGTGCCTCTCTAGCATGTCCTTGAGTAGCAGGAGTGTTAGTGGAAGTCTGTTTTATACCTGAAGTATCATAGTAATAGTAGGAACAACAACTGTAATAGTTGATATGTATTTAGTATTTATTTTGTGACATGCCCTAGTTTAAATGTTTTAAATATATTATTTCATTGTGAGATTCCCATAAGACATGGGCATTCACATGATAGAGTTATAGAAACACAAGATTAAGTAACTTGAGTAAAGAGCGGCGGGGCCAGAATTGAAATCCAGGTGCTATAACTCCAAAGCCTCTTTCCTTAAGAGGATCCACTACACTAGTCTGGTGAGTGGAAGAACTATTTTGTTTGCACATTTATTCATTCACCACTTGACAGACAATTGGGATGTTTCCATCTTTTGCATATTATGGATAATGCTGTTAAGAAAATTAATGTACAGGTTATAGGGTGGAGTTCCTTGTAGATACCTGTTAAGGCCAGTTGGTTTATAGTGTTCAAGTCCTATTTTCTTATGATCTGCCCAATTTTTCTATCCAAGTGGGGTGTTGACATTTCCAACTATTATTGCTGAGTTTTGCTAAACATATTTTAGGGTTCTTAGATGCACATAGCATATCTTTGTAATTATGATGTCCCAACTGTGAATTGACCCTTTTTTTTTTATCACACTGCATTAGTATTACCATTCCAGCTCACTTTTGGTTACTATGTAAATATTTTAACTATTTTTTTTATCCCTCTTCCCCCAATCTTTTTGTGTCTTTCTCTTGCTGCTTTCAAGGTGCTCTCTGTATCTTAATTTTTCAACAATTTGAATGTTATATGTCTAATGGAGGATACCTTTGAGTTTATCTGACTTGGTGTTTGTTGAGCTCCTTGGATGTGTAGATTCATATTTTTCAAGTTTGTGAAATGTCAATCTATTCTTTCTGCTGCTTTTTCTCCTCTCCTTTTGAGATTCCCATTATGTATTAATATATGGTGGTATGCTCTGTTGTGTTCCCTGCGTCTCTGAGACTCTCTCCATTTTTGTTCAGATAAAAGACCTTATAGTTATAATTCACTATTTTGAATTGATAACAACTTAACATCTGTCCCATACAAAAACCTCTAAACTTTTATCTTCGCAACCACAATTTATATTTTTGATGTCTTTCTCAATCTGTTTTCTTCTGGTGTAACAGAACACTGCAGATTGGCTAATTTATCCAAAAAAAAAAAAAAAAAAAAGGAAGAAGTCTTAATTTGCTTCAGCATCAACTAACAAGTCCCAATTCTGCAAGGCAGTTTGCAGCATCAGCCTGGCTCCAGGGAAGAAGGGATGCTCTGAAGGCCCAGCCCCCAGGGAACAGGTTACAGCTGCAACCCAGGTCCCAGAAACAACAGGGCACAGCAGCACAACTCTGACCCCAGACGTTGGGATATCATGCAGTGGTGACTGTCCACCCTGGGATGGTGGAGCACAGCAGTAGCCCAGGCTCTGTGACGCTGGGTGCAGTGGCAGTATGGTCCCAGGAATGGCAAAGCCCAACTGTGGCTTGGCCCTTGGGGACCTTGGAGAAGTAGCGAAATGACTCCACTCCCTAGGAAGGCAGAGTGCCTTAGCAGCTCAGACTCTAGGGGTGGGGCACAGAGGTTGTTTGGCCTGGAGGACTGGGTAGCACAGCTCAACCAAGGCTCTGGTTCCCCACAGGATGGGGCAGTTTCAGCTTGGGCCCTGAGGGGCAGAGTGCACCAGCCACTGGGATGGGGACCTGTTCCATGGCAGCTTGGCCCCAAGGGATAAGGAGTAGCAGAAGTTCCGCTTGGGTACGGCAGGCCACCAAGTGGGCATCGGGCAGTGGTGGAGGAGTGCAATGGCTGCTCATCCCTGGAGCAAGAGACACTCAATGCCAAGAAGGGGCAGCACAGTAGCAGCTCAGGCCATGTGGGGGCAGGGCACAGTGTCAGCTCTTCTTGGGATCGAAAAGAAATTACTTGACTTACTATTTTATGATTTCTAATTTTGTACTTTTTATTTTACTGCTCTCTATAACTTTGAATATACACCTTACTAAAATTAAATTAATATTTTAAATGATTAATCTTTTATTTTCATTTTTTATTTAGGCATTTTCCCTCTATCTTTCTCTAAAATTGGCCCTTTTTCTTTGATTTATGTCATTTTTATTGATGCATAGCTAATAATGTATTTCCTTTAGTCTATCAAAGACAAATATAGGTTGATAATGCTTTCCAGTGAAATCCGAATTCTTTTCCTCAACATGGCAAATTTGGACTGCTATAACCTTTTTCATCTGTGCTACTATTGATAATAAAAGGACACACATGTCCAAACTTGAGACTTTTATGTGGCCTCAATGAAGCATAAATAGTATCAGAAGCAACTGTGGCCTGAAGAATCTTAGCAAGCTTCACTTCCCCCAAAATTTGTGGAAGTGGGACATGAAACATCTGAATATGAATTCAAAAGAGTAGATAAAAATTTTCATGTGGCTTAAACCTATCTTCACATAACCTGATTGGCATTATTATGTTGAGGAGAGAAAGAGGCATAAGAGTAATACATTTGTGCTTGGAGTCTCAGAAAAATAATTGTATCTATCCTTGCTATGCATTGGCAAGTCAGAATTTAAAGCACTGTAGTAGGATAAAAGATTTAAATTTGTAGTGCTAAGGATATGACTCAGAGCCATAAATTCCATTCTCAAAGTTCAGAGTTTACAGGACAAGATATAAGGTTATGTAAACCATACTCTGTAAAGATGAACCTAGGAAGGTTTCTAGCTCTGAGAATTTGACTGTGTTCTGATTAGAAAAGGGAGACTATAAAAAAAAGCTACACAGTAAATTGGAAAGCAGATGAGTCTGTGTAGTTTATTGCTATTATAAAAGTCATCCTTCAATGGGCAAATAGCTATAATCAAGGAAATAGTAATTGGGATAGAGATAAAATCTGAGCAGACTCAGGATTTGAACTTGAAGAAATTTCTCTAATTTGAGAGGTCCAACATATTTATTTCACTCTGTCCATATTTCCCTCTCTACAAGACTTTCTAGAATCTTGATATCCATGGCATTTAGCACCTTTCTCTCTCTCTCTCTCTCTCTCTCTCTCTCTCTCTCTCTCTCTCTCTCTCTCTCACCCCTTCCGCCCTCATGTTGCTGCTTCCATTTCTCTGGTTCTAACAGTTATTACAATATAGGAAGAGAATGTAGACCAAATTTTGTCCTTAGGGAGGAACCTGCCTCAAAGTGTCATGCCCCTCTCTTATTTTCAGGACCTCATCCTAAATTACATTTTTTATTGTAGCACTTTTTCCACTACCATGGAAACCATGCAAAGAATGGAACAGACCGCAGCTGGCCTTGCTGTGCCCCAGCCTGCTGTTTTACACTCATATATGTGGAAAGGGTTGCAAGAGAAGTTCTTGAAGGGAAAACCCAAAGTCCTTGGGGTAAGTTGGTTGCAGATCTGGGAGAAGGGCAATGGTGTTTGTTGTAAACTCACAATGGATCAGAACTAATGCCCAATACACTGTCCGATTAGCCTTATGACACATAAATCAGCCCAAGAGACATCAGTATTCGATTTTCAGAACCTATCATTTGAAAAATGATGAAATATTCTGTTACATCATGCTTCCAATTTAGTTATATTTAAAATATATTGACTTCAGATCTATTCTAGGGTTCTGGGTCATCCATGATAATTAAATTTAGCCTCAGCATAGACGAGCAGCCAAAGCTGTGTGCACGTTTTGTTATGAACATAAGTTTTCAAATCCTCTGGGTAAGCACGATTGCTGGACTGTGTGGTAAGAATGTGTATAGTTTTGTGAGAAAGTGCCAAACTCTCTTCTGAGTGACTCTGCCATTTTGAAGATTTCAACCAGCAATGAATGAGAGTTCCTGCCATTCTACATCATCACCAGCATGTGGTATTTCGCCAGTGTTTTGGATTTTTTTAGGTATTTTAATAGGTGTGTAATGGAATCCTATTGTCATTTTAATTTACATTTCTCTAATGACACAAGATGTAGAGCATCTTCTCATAAGTTTCTTTACCATCTCTCTATCTTCTTTGGTGAGGTGTCTGCTAAGTTCTTTGGCCCATTTTTTAGCCATAGTGTTGGTGTTATTAATTGTTGAGTTTTAAGGGTTTGTTGTATATTTCAGGTAACAGCCCTTTGTCAGATAAGTTTTGCAAATATCTTCTACCAGTATGTGGCTTATCTTTTCATCTCTTAACAGTATCTTTTGCAGAGCAGAAATTTTTAATTTGGATAAGATCCAGCTTCTCTTTCATGGATTTTTGCCTTTGGTATTGTATTGATAAAGTTATTGCCAAACCCAGGTTCATCTAGAATTTGGCCTATGTTACCTTTTAGGAGTTTTATAGTTTTGAGGTTTACATTTAGGCCTGTAATTCATTTTTAGTTAATTTTTGTGAAGGTTATAAGGTCTGTGCCTAGGTTCCATTTTTTCTTATGGATGTCCGGTTTTTTAGTACCATTTTTTTAAAGACTGTCTTTTCTCCATTCTATTTACATTTGCTTTTATCAGAGATCATTAACTATATTTATGTGTCTATTTCTGGGATTTCTATTCTATCCATGGATCTATTAGCCTATTCTTCTACCAATACCACACTGTCTTGATTCCTATAGCTTTATAATATGTCCTGAAGTCAGGTAATGTTAGTCTTCCAACCTCTTCTTCTTCAATATTGTGTTTGCTATTCTGAGTCTTTCACCTCTCCATATAAACTTTAGAGCCAATTTATCAATACCCACAAAATAACTTGCTGACTGTTGCTGACTACCTCTGATGTCTATTCAAAGCCCAAGCGCTCTTTAATCCACAGGTAGTGACTCTTGCTAGGACTGGGTCCTTCTCTTCAGGTCTACATGTTTCCTTCTGGCCCAGAAATGCCATCCAGGAACTAAGACCTGGACTCTGGGCTTTAGGAGTCTGCTTGATACATTATTTTACAGTGGTTGAGCTGGTACCCAAGTTGCAAAACAAAGTCCTCTGAATTTTCCCCTTTCCTTTCCTCAAGTAGAAGAAGACTCTCCCTGAGCTGTACTGCCTGTGGTTGAGAGAGGGGTGACATAGGCACTGGCTTGGCCATAGCTGCTGGTGTCTTACTGGGTTACATGGACCCCAAAGTTCACTGGCTCTGAGCCAGCACAGCTACAGGAATTGCCCAAGGACTGCAGCCTGTGTGGCCCTACTGCCTCATGAATTTAGTCCATGCTCCAGTCTACTTTTTTCAGCCAAGTGGCGGGCCTACCCAGAACTCAGGTTTTGGGATGGAGGATTTCCCTTTGGCTGGGCTGGTCTTAATTCTCCCTCCGTGGGCACCAGCAGAATTCTGCCCTGTGCAATGCTTCCCTGTGCCAGCATGGCCCTGAGTTTCAATGCCAAGTCCCACCGTTACTTCATTCTCCCTCCCCTGGGCACGTAGATTCTCTCTCCACTTTGCAAGCTTGTGTGGCACTGTGGGGGACAGGGAATGGCTGGCATAGGCAGTGAAAGATTGTCTTTTTTGCCCTCTTCAGTGCATCTTTCCTTGATATAATGTTAAAACCAGATGGTATGATCACTCAACTGATTTTTGGTTCTTCTGAAGGTGCTCGCTTGCATTGTGAGTTGTTGAATTTGGTGTTCATGCAGAGGGATGATCACTGGAGATTTCTATCAGGCCATCTGGCTCTGCCCTCCTCCAACTCTCCTATTTTTAGACCCCTGTACTCATACCCATGTCCTTAGGCACCAGACCCTAATAAAATGTCATATTTTATTTATTTTTTTTGTGTGTCCCTCTGTATACACTCTCCTTCCTTCAGGTTACTTCTCTTTGCTAGAACAATTGCTTTTTAATTCCTTGGTCACTTCTCTCTGAGCATATGACAAAGGAAAACAACAGCTTGGAAGAAGTAGCATCCTAGATATCAGAAAACTACCTCTGGGCTGGTTCTGATATACTGCTTTTAACGTTGAAATTATCGGGACAATGATGGATATTTTGAAAGATAATTTTATTAAGTTGGTATTTTCATGGTTCTTTATGTGGAAAAAAAGTGACAAGAGAATATCAAGATGGTCATATGATTATATCAAACAAGGGAGAATAAGGGTTGGAAAGGAGGGGGCATGGACACCAGTTTCATGGTGAATACTCAGTTTTTACCTTCTTCTCCATTTTTAGACTGTGCAGATCCTGATTGCCCTGATGAACCTCAGCATGGGAATAATAATGATGAGTCTCACCGTGCCGTGTGTGGGATTTGGATTATGTCCCATGTCAGTGTACAGTGGATACACAATTTGGGGATCACTGATGGTAAGGAGAATACTTTCTGATGTAACTGGAAATGACATAACATGGGTGTTAATATCCTCATCTCTGGGATTCTATTCTAACTCTATCTTGTAGCTTTATAAATTTGAGGAAAGTATCTAAACTTCTTTTGACTCCATTTTCTCATATTTAATTGGTAATAATAATATAAAACTCATAGACAGCTAGGAAAATTAAATATATAATATGTATCGGTTAGGATATATTACAGTAGCATGTAGCCAAACCCAATGGCTTAAACATTGAAACTATTGATTATTTTACAATGAGAAGCTCAGTGACTAGTCATTTCCAAGGTTGGTTAATTTAGTGCTGCAAGGATCTCAAGGACTGCTGGCAGATCCTATCGGATTGACACATAGCATTTTACATAAATGTTTATATGCATATTCCAAAACTATGGGTAAGGGTAAAGGATTTGCCATTATTGGCTTAGACTAATTAAGATTCACCTCTGTGGCTAAGAAGAGTTCACCCTAGCCTGAAGCTCATAGGAGACTAAGCTAAATGAGGGTTTTGTTAGTAAGAAAGAAAAGGAGAGGTGGCTGGTACACCGGAAATTTACTATCCAATATCAGTTGTTATCTTAGAAAATGGAATTGCTACTTGGTAAAATAAGTTTTACAAGTTTAATAAAAGTAACTATAATTAATATTAACTAAAATTATAATGAGAATTTTAAAAAGTTTAAAAATCTTTCCCCAAGACAAAACATAGGAGAGTTTTTAATGCAAATTGACAGTGAAATTTAGTATAAAATAACAAGTTTCATCTACTGACAACAGGAAAATAAAATTTATAACCTAGGTTTATGTGAGACTCAGAGAATCTATTCAAGTGTTGTGGGGTTTTCATTAATCTACCAAGTTCAAAATGAGATAATTTAAAGTTTTATTATAGAGCTTGATTTTGCTCCCCACAACCTTTTTACAGCAGAAGTGCAGGATTTGAAGAATGCAAAATGCTATTCTACTTCCAGAAAGTTGTACAGCATTTTTTATACCTAAAAATACCCATAATAGCTTTTATTAAGCTCTTACTATGATCTGGGCACTCTACTAAGTGCTTTATATGTGCAATTCCATGTCAAATAATCACCACAAATTTCTGAGGGAGGATTTATTATCATCCTCACTTTATCCATGAAGAAATTGGGACTTAGAGAGGTTAGGTAACTTACCCATATACCATGGAGTACTACTCAGTCACAAAAACAATGGTGAACTAGCACCTCTTGTATTAGCCTAGATGGAGCTAGAGCCCATTCTACTAAGTGAAGTATCAGGAGAATGGAAAAACAAGGACCACATGTACTCATCATCATACTGGTACTAATTGATGAACACTTATGTGCACATATGGTAGTAACATTCATTGGGTGTTGGGCAGGTGGGAAAGGAGAGAAGGGGGTGGGTATGTTCACACCTAATGGGTGCAGTGTGCACTGTCTGGGGGATGGGCACGCTTGTAGCTCTGACATGGGTAGGGCAAAGGCAATATATGTAAGCTAAACAATTGTGCCTCCGTAATATTATGAAATTTTTTTTAAAAAAGCTATTTGGTACAGGAATCAGGGGTCAAGTAGGATCAGTCTATTCCAAGAATTGCAGACATCTAACCACTCTAGTTTTCTGCTTCCTTTTTCATTTCCTTTTCAAGACCACATCAGAAACCAGCTTATGTAGTTCAAACCTTCTACACCAGTTCGGTAGGTAATTAAGACGGCAGGGCTGTTTGCCAGCTGAGGCAGCACTCAGACTATTGTAGGCATCTCACTGGATGAGCCTTTGTTTATTGGTGAAACATTTTTTTTGCAGCTAACCTCCATTGTTCTTTCACCCTTATTTCTAAACCTTACCTGTAAAGTGTCTCTTTTTTCTCCCTTATACAATATAAGTTCCGAGAGCCGATTGTAAATTTCTCATATTTTCAGCCTCTTTAGTCTCCAGTAAAATAGCAATCTGTCCTTTGCTAGAATCCCATAAAATTATTCCCACATTAGTCGACTTGTTCAAATTTTCTTTTGTGTACTTTTGGGATATTGTAAAGTTTTATTCTTATGTATCTTTCATATTTCTTGTTAAATTTTTTCCTCTGAGATACTTTATATATTTTCCCTATGGTAAATGGGGTGCTTTTATTCAATCCTGCCTTCAAATACACAAATACATATACAAATTTACAGTATGTATATATAATATCTGTATATAATGTTTTTCCATGTGCCTTACTAAATTTTTAAATAGTTTATAGTAGTTTTTAGTTCATAGTCTTTAGATTTTTTACAATATAAATTATATTCATATTTAAACAATAGTAATTTTAACCATTTGTTTCAAATATTTTTCTTAAATGTTTTGGTTAATATACTCAGAATAGTATGGCATAATAGTCTATGTCTTTATCTTGATTTTGACTTTAATGAGATGGTCCTAGGGTTTTACCATTAAACATAATAAAGACTTTCAGACTGAGACAGATATTCTATCATGTAAAGGAAAATATGATTATATACATTTTATCAATAATGTTCAAGCCAATAATAATTTTGGATTGAATTCAATGTCTTATCAACATTGTAAACATGAATAGCAATTAATATGTGAATTTTTTCCTCAAATCTATCAATTTCAAAAATTATAACATCTCAATATTAAAAATATCTATGCATGCCAACTTCTGTGTTTCTTCTCAGATAATTGATCTGTTCAACATGCCTATTTACTTTAGAAGTAAGCTGTATTACGTTTTGATTTCCAATATTTATTTAAAGTTTTTATCTGCATTTTTCCTTTTATTTCTAGTTCATTGTTTCAGGAGCCCTGTCAATTGCAGCAGAGAAAAGAACTACGAAAGGTCTGGTGAGTAATATTTCTTATTTTGGGGAGAGAGGGATGGAGGTTCCAAGAAAGGGAGGATTAATCAAATATGTATTCTGTCAGGGCATAAGGAAGATTTTGTTTCTTTGTTTTTAAAACATCAGAAGAGATTATAAGTTTTACCTAGTAGGATCTGTTTTTTAAAAATTGTGATCAAACAATTGGCTAATGATAGAATTACTGACATGGGACTGAATATTTTGGCAAAGTAGTAACTGAGAGAATCTTTATAAAGATACAGAGAATTCTTGAGCTGTCAAGCGGAATGAGTCCAAAAAACCCCTGCAGCTTGAGATCCACCATGTGACAGTAAGACACCAAATATTGGTATGCCATAATGCTTATCAACAGATTGCTTAAAATTTGCATTCCCACTGTGTCCATAAAAGATTTTTAGTTTGCAATAAAAGAAATTCACAATGAAGTCATTATTGTTGATATATAAGAATAAGCAAATTTAAACCGTTTAACTTCCATGCCAATATGTCTTTCATAAAGCCAACAAAGGGCAAAGCCCAGATCTCAACAAATGTTTTCCTGGCTCGCAATCATATTTGAGTTTCCTTTGCTCAAAAGATAAACATCAAACTCTGCAGCGGGATCACTATGGCCCCTCCAAATCTGGCCTCCGTCTGCTTCCCTAGCCGCAACCATTAACATGCGTCTCGTGCTACAGCCGCACGAAACCTCTCACACTTTCCTGAGCAATCTCAGTCCTTATAAAAAGCCTCCTTACCTTCACCCATGAGAAGAGAATGTGCTGCAGGACATACACCGCAGACAGGGACTTGAGAGGCAAGCAGCACTTAGAAAACGATGCAGCAGGCAGCGAGAGGGATGGATACGGACAGGGCTGTCCAGCCACAGTGCTAAGGAGGTTTGCAGTTTGTCTCATGTGCCCAAGGAAGTCAGCTGAAGGTTTTAAGCTTCAGGGAATAACAGCATCATATTTGTGTTTTGGCAAGAGGTTACAGCTGCAACTACTGTAAGGGGATAAATTAGAAGACTTGACATATTCAAGGCCCATTCAACTAAGTGATGTATCTCAAGAATGGAAAAACAAGCACCACATGTACTCACCAGCAAATTGGTATTAATGGATCAACACTTAAGTGGGCATATAGGAATAACACTTATCAGGTGTCGGGCAGGTGGTGCATGGGCAATATACATAACCTTAACATTTGTATCCCCATAATATGCTGAAATAACAAAATTAAAAATGAAAATAAATAAATAAATATTAAAACACAAATTCAAGAGAACGATGTCAAAGTAACAAATATATAAGAACTTAATCGTTTTTCAGATGTAAAGGGTCTATTAAATGTCCAGTATAATTCAAGGCCTTATTATAAAAATAAATAAATAAATAAATAATTTTTTTAAAAAAGATAGAGAAGATAGACCGTGTTGGGAAAGAAATGGTGGGTGTAAAGTGACTCACGGAGATATATCCGAGAATGTTGTCGGATTGTTTAATTGGTTTTCATTCTTTTCTAGGTCCGAGGTAGTCTTGGACTGAACATCACCAGCTCTGTCATGGCTCTGTCAGGGGTCCTGATCAATGCAGTCAGTGCGAGTATCTATTCGTACCAATACAATTACTGTAACTACCGTCAGACGACGAAAAATTGTTTCATGTACACGTCCATTTTAATGGTGAGTGCTTCTTCCTCTTTTCATGGGATGCCATGGTGGAAGCAAGTGTGGAGAGTGCTGGCTCTGGCAAAAGCAATAATCAACACTTTCTAATTGCTGGATGACTTTGGGAAGTTGAAAGTGATTGAGAAACGGAACAATTCGGAGTCAGGTCCACATCTCTTCTCTCTCTTTTCTCCTCCTCTATATTTAATGAGGCAAAGTGGGGGGAAAAAGCTCACAGTTCTAGAACACCTACTCCTTAATATAATAGTTACTGTTCTGGCATTTTGCATAAATTCTTTGTTTGATTTTAAAGCACTGATCAGTATTACTGCTAATTCGCTTTACAAATGGAGCCCAGATAGCAGTCCCTGCATGTCCCCAGGGTTTCCGAATGGAGCCTGATGGAGTTACCTAGTTCTCTAATAATAAAGTAAAATTGTCTTGACTGTTATCTTGCAGGTGGTGAGTGTCCTTTCTAACTTCTCTGGATGTTCTGGCAAGGTTAACCACTTTTAGCCTCAACATCTGGCTCCTGGCAACTTCTCAGTCTCCATGCTGTATTTTACCATTTTTTTGGTACCAACTGCCCTTATTTCGATGCTATCCGAATTGCTTTATTCTGCAAGTTACCACTGACACAATGTTTTGTAGGCAGCAAAACTTCTTGACATTTTGGGCCATTGAATAAGCATGGGGTAGAAGAGTTATTGCCGCACATTGTAGCAGACTAAATGCACAGTTAAATCTTTACTGTGAAAAAGTCTATTGGCCATTCTCAACACCACCAAATTTTCTATTCCCTTCCCTTTATATGTGCTGTCAGCCTTTCACCTTGCTGCTTAGCTCTTTTCCTCATTTTCTCCTTCCCTTGCCTGTATGTGAAGACTCAACATTCTTTCTAACTTACTAGGCAGAATTGATTGCATTCTTTTACTTCATTCCTAGCTAATCCTACATAAGTCTTCAGGGCTCTATATTCACACCAAAATAACCTTTGAGTTGTCTTTGCTAAACTAATTTACTTAGAGTTTTCAGATAGCTTTTATAGTAAGCAATGCTATTTCCTCAAAATAAGAATAGAAAGCTTCTTCAGAGAACTTGACAAATTTTTCCAAGGTCACTAAATTAGAAATTGGCAAAAGCATGATTAGATTCTGGAACTTCTTGTCTCTAATCCCCCTGTTATTTGCTATTGTTATCCTGAAGAAGAACCTTACTTTGGGTTTCTGAAGCTCTCTCCACTCATAGACTTTAAGGGCACAATGATGGAGACAAAATCTGGAGTTGGCCAGGTTTGCAAGACTAACTTCATGAGCTTGGGACCTGTGTAGTTATTCAGGACAGTTAGAAGAACCTTGTGCTTCATTTAATACTCTGCTGCTGCTGTCTTGAAATTCTTTTTAAAAACTTAACAAGATACCCTGTAAATTATGTAGCTGGTTCTTCATTCATCTCAATCACCTTTTCCCGAAGGCCATTATAAATTCTTATAATTGTATGGACATTTGTTCTGCCTTTCCTTATAGCAGAGGACATCCATAAAGGCTTCCTAGAATTTGAAGCAACAGGTCTATTTCTGTCTGGGCACCCGCATGCTCAGTCTACCAGCCCATGAGCCCATATTTTATGCCCAGTCCCAAGTTGGGCACTCTGGAAGACATAAGAAGGAGATCAGCTCTCTACCATAAGGAGGCTCCAATTCTTATGGGAGAAAAAGATAGAAATACTGGAAAGGATATAATTATAAAAAGAGGTTATAAAAAGGTGACCTTCTTGTAGAAAAGAGGAGTTAGAGAGCATTAGGCAGAGCCATATAAAATTGCCAATGATCAGCCACCCCTGATCTAGAGAGACAGCAGTTTCATGTGGCTCAAACACGTGTATACTTTTTGTTGGAAGTCCAGCCCAGAGCCTGTTTTTGTAAATAAAGTTTAACTGAAATGTAGCCAAGCCCATTCGTCTATATATTGTATATTGCTTTTGTATTATATTGGCAGAGTTGAGCATTTGCCACAGAGACCTACTGGTCTGCAAAACCTAAAATATATGCTATCTGGCCCATTAGAGAAAGTTTGCCAACTCCTAGTCTTCCCTACTAGATGGTAAGATCCTTGAAGACAGGGGAGTGGTCTGTTTTGTTTGCTGCTCTATCTTCTGTGTCTACAACAATGCTTGAAACAGAGGCTGCTGCACCTGTTAAAGGCATGATTAAATAAACAATGAATGCAAATGTTCTCGGGGTTCCCTTGAGTGTGCATCATTCATGTCCTGAGCTTTTGGTCTATTGGCCCTTCCATAGCAGAGGGACTATCCCTAACCACGGAGAAAAAAAGAGAAAATAACCAAAGAATACCCCACATCAATCCAGGGTAAGATTATTTGGAATAAGTATACTTCCCAATGTTCCCTAAATTTGATCATGTGTTTTGGCCAAAGATGATCTAAAACCAGTTCTCTTGGGAGATGAATTAAAGATTGATTAACTTGGTGTTCATTGTTGCATTAGTTTCTTATTGTTGCTATAACAAATTACTACAAATTTAGTTGCTTAAGACAATAAAAATAGATTATCTTACGTTTCTGGAGGTCAGAAGTTCACAATAGGTCTCATTAGGCTAAACTCCAAATGTTGACAGGGCCATATTCCTCTCTGGGGGTGTAAGGAGACAACGTGTTTCTTTGTCTTTCTTGGCTTCTGGAGTCTGCCTACATTTCTTGGCTTGTCACCCCATCCTTTATCTTCAAATCACGCAGTGCCCCATCTTCAAATCTCTCTTGGACTTTGACTCTTCTGCCTTTTCCACTTGTAAGGATTCTGTTGTTACTTTGAACCCACCTGAACAATCCAAGATAATTCCCTTATCTCAGCTAACAAGCAGCCTTAACTTGATCTGCAACTTTAATTCCCCTTTGCCATGTCACTTGACATAGTCACAGGTTCTGGGGATTAGGGTGTGAAGCTCCCTGAGGAACCATTATTTGGCCTATAATCACCAAGATACAGAATAATATTATTATGTCGACTCTATGAAATTTATAGTACTGGAAAAGACTAAGATAACAATTATCATTATAAATCCTTTCCCCCTTTTAAAGCACTTTTGAATAGCTCTCTGTGCCCATGATTTCACTGGAAAATAGTGGACTGGGGAAAAAAATATCTTATTTTAAAAGTGAAAAAAGTATGAGAAGTGAAGTGACATTCAGCCCACCAAGAACTGGCCAAGGGCATAGCTGCAATTAGGAGCCAGGTTTCCTGACTCCTGGCCAGTGAGTTTTCTCTTTTGGTGTTGTAGTTAGTGGTAAATGTTTGAAACTTGTCATCTCTATTTCCTCACATTCCTTTGTCATGGATTTTTCCCCCCAGGGTATGGATATCTCGGTGGCTATTTTCAGCATGCTGGAATTCTGCATTGCTGTGTCCCTCTCTGCCTTTGGATGCAAAGTCATGTGTTGTAGCCCCGGTGGGGTGAGTATTGGCCCTCATTTGAAGATATCTGTGTTCATTTTCTATTGCTGTGTAATCAATTACACAAACTTAGAGGCCTACAACAACATGCATTTATTACTTCTCAGTGTCCATGGGTTAAAAATGTGGGCACAGCTGAAGTGTGACTTCCACCCAGAATCATGCAAGGCTGTAATTAAGGAGTTGCCTGGGGCTGTGGTCTCATCTGAAGCTCTGATACTCTTCCACGCTCATGTGGCAGAATTCATTTCACCTCTCAGGTGCAGAACTCACTGACAATGCACTTTTTCTTTGAGGCCAGCAGGCAAGTGAAATTCTCTGATATTTTAAGGTTCTATTAAAGAGTTCATGTGATTAGATTTGTTCCATCCAGAATAATGCCTTTTTTGATAAACTCAGAGTCAACTGATCAGTATCTACGCTCACAGGAGTGATAACTTCTCATGTACATGAATCACACTCACACTCACAGGGGGGGATCACGAGAGTGTGGTTCAATCGGTTTCATTTTAGAATGCTGCCTACCACAATCACTCAAGAAAAGCTGTTTTCTCCTATCCTTACTACCTTGAAATTTCCCATCTAAGTCCAAGTCAGTCTCCATTTCATAGCGGAGAGGGCCCTAAGGAGTGTTAGATTTTACTCCATTATGTTATTATAGCAACCTTTGCAGGGCTGCCAAAGAAATGTCAGGACTTCAGACTTCTCAGTCAGCCGGTGAACATGTGCCCACTCTGTCACTCTGACACCCACGGCAGACTGTCCTGGCTGCTGAGCAGAAAGAATGTCACACACAGAGGAAAGCAGGAAATGGAAAGAGACCAGGAAAGAGGCTCTAGGAAGAATAGGGTAGGGCATCCTCCGAGGATTGAGGGTTCTGGAGCAAGGAAGTAAGTAAAACCCCAACTGCTACTCATTAGCTTCATTACCTAAAGTCCCAGGGGCAGACAAAACCAACAGCCAAGCAATCAAATAATAATAGCTTGATGAGATTGTGTTTCTGGTGCGCTTCTCCATCATTTTGTACCTCTTTGTCTTCTTTTGGGGGCTCCCAGGCAGCACCCCATCCCACACCCCCACAGCCCTTCCTCACAGAAGAGACATTGATGAAATTGTATTAATTCTAATAATGTGCCTTTGCATTATAAAACCCTAAAAGTGAGAGTTTCTCAGGAATTACGATGATTTCAAGAATTTGGGCGTGGGGGCAGACTAATTAGCAACCGCCATATCGGAGTATTTAGGCCTGTGGTCCCGGCTGCTGCTGGTGTAGCAGCTGGGTGATGTTGCTGCCACCAATCTCCTGCTGTGGGTGGAGAACAGCAGAGGCTTTGGGGCAAATAGTGCCTACATCTCTATCTCTTCCTGGCACCACTCCCCGCAACCCCCTGCCACACTAATTTTGTGGGAGAAAGACCATAATTTTCTCAGTCTTATGAAGATCTCTGCTACTTTGGGCCAGTGTGGTTTTTGCAATGTTTTATTCATAACCAACAAATCGTAATGTGGGTATTCTATTGTCATCAGCGTGGGAAGCCTGGTTTGAAAGAAGAGCTCTGTATTTTTCGTGACACCGGGGTTTCCCTAACACGTGGGGCACCATCACCCACATGTAATATTGGCCCACTTGCAAGAGCTAAGAGTTATCACTGAATGTGTGTGTCTTTAGGTCTAACTTGATCTAAGGAATGACTGAGAAGCCCACCAGACTGATCTTGAGAATGAATTCAGAGAAGAAAGAGTAAACTCTGACAATAACGACCTTACGTGGGCAGGAAAGGGAAACCCTGAGGTCATTTGGGTGACTCCCCTATGGCATTCTGATTGATTTCACAGGTTGTGATAATTGTGCCATCAAATCCTCACGCGGCTGAAGCGGCAACTCCTGCACCATTTGACGGAGGTTCGACGCCACCAACAGATCAATAGAAAAATCTTCCAGAAAATCTGTGCTGATTGTAATGCAAGAACCCCATATGTGAAAGTACCAGGATCCAACTCTGATATATATATATAATATATGAAAAATCCAATTCTGAAATGTATATACACACACAGATATAAATATACACATTATTTTTACTAAAGAACTTAATAACTCATTTTAGTGGCTCTTTATCAGAGTAGTGGAAATTAAATAAATAAATCATGCATTTATAATGAGGCAACGTGAAAGTTTTTCATTCATCTTCAGGACTTTATATAAGGGCATTAAATTGGCAAATAAAATTTGCAGCATAAGGGAAAAAATATTGTTGAACCAAGGCCTCCATGAAAATGTATATTTCTACTTTTTTCCCACCTTTGGAGACACAAAGTGCTTTTTCCTTTAGGAAGCTGAGATACATAGCTTCCGCCCTCCCTTTTCTTTCTCCTCCTTTCCTTCTCCCATAGAAAGTAACTTGGAATCACACAGTCAGTCCTTGCATATACGCAAGCCATCATTTGAGTATAAGTACACATTGGAATAAAAATTTCATTGTGGATCAGATTCAACTTATAGTTTCTATCTATTTCTTCTTCCTCCCCTCCCCTGTATTGTGCAGAATTATACCTTCATCAAATTTGTATCCAGTGCCCTATCTGAAAATGTGCAACACATGGCATTTGCTGAATGTTTGTTAAACACACTTGCTGTTTTTTTGCAGAACAAAAATAAATAAAATGAGATGTGATGTGTTCATGTGCTACCTACTTGCCATTCAGATGCAATATGGTGAAAAGAGACTAAGTGTTGATGTCCAAAATATAATAGTAAATAATGTGAGCTTTCTAATTTGACAACCCTGAGTTTTCATCTTGAAATCTCTTGTTTTTTATTTGTTACCTATGTCGCCATGGACATGCAACAAAATTTCTCTGTGCCTCGTATTTCTCTTAAAGAAAATAGTAATAATACTACCTGTTTCATAGACCTGTAATAATTACTTGGTATGTTAATAAAATAGATAGAGCAATCACTACTCAGTCTGGCACAAAGTGACCTCAAAAGTATTAATTGTTATATATACATATATGACTACATATGCATAGATGCGCCACATGGTTTTTACCATTTTTCTTTTTCTGTGAGTTGTTTACTTATTCCTATTCTTTAACTATTTTTCTTTTACTTACTATGTATATATATTTTCATATTAGTGATACTAACCTATCATCTATAGGCTGTGATGCAATTATGTTTTCTTTTCAGTCAGCTATTTTTCATTTATATTTATTTTTGGTATCTCATGCTGTAAAACTATTTTTATTTTAATGTAGAGATATTTTTATCATTTTATTTATGATCTTTTATATTTTTAATTGCTTGGAAAAGTTTTTCTTATCCTAGCTTTACAATATATTCTTTTGCATTTTCTTCCCTTGCTTAATAGTTTTGTCTTTAGTATTTATTTTTATTATTATTATTTAATACTGCAATTTTAACCTATTTTTTTCATATTTTTGGCCATTATGCAAATAGTACTGACTGCATAGTTCGTCATCACTGCACTGACATTAACTTAATATTTTAACATATCATAAGGAGATATTTGTCAGTTCCTATAATTAATCACAATATTTTAATTATTTTGTATGTATTGGTATCTCACTTATTATTTTTCTCCAATATATCATTAATAGTTTACACCTTTTGGTACCCAGCATTTATTCCCATTTGTTCTGATAACCATAGCCTGAACTTCCTCTAAGGAATCACCACTTCCTAACTCCCAATTTATGTACAAGGATAGAGCTCACTCTACTCTCAGCTTCAGGAGTTGACCTGTGTCCTACACCTGGACAATGGCAGAATTATATCAACCCAGCTAGAGTGAAATTCTGTGGTAGTCTTGTGACTTAAGGCAAACCACTTATGTGAATGACTGACACATTTCCAATCAAAATTAATCCCACCATTTTTGCTTCACTGACCAGGAAAGAGTGTCTCCATCTTTCCTCTTTCCTGTTGGGCTTGGAGCTTTAAGAAGGTAAATTTACTGCTAGTAGAGGACATCACACTACATGAATCCTGTGACAAACAAAGGCTTACAGAGCAGAACTGAGAGGTTCTGCCTCGTGAAAGATCAGACCCTAATGGTATGCTTTGAGCCTCTGAGGAGTCAAGTGGCTGCTCTGCTGGGTTGACTGTTGGGCTAAGAATTGCCTTTGTAGTGGTTGGTATGTTGGTCTAAGCTTTGAGGTTTTGACCATTAGTGACTATGGTTTGGCCATGACAATTATTTTTTAGACTAAGTATGGTCAAATCCAAACAGATCCTGTGAATGTCTTGAAGAATGGAACTTGATCAGTAATCAGTCACCACGTTAAAATTGAGCTCATTATTGAGGGTAGCATCTTGGGGCTACACTTTGCCCTGTGAATGATAAGAATAAAAACAAGTTGTTAAGGTTTTGAGTATGTAAGGTGATATTATTGAAAACTTCTAACTGTAAGTAGTCTGAGCTCTTAGAGTAGATGCAAGCTATTTGAGCCTGAAAATAATTCCTTTTAAAAAATCTTTTTTTTAAATTTCAAAATATTATGGGGATACAAACATTTTGGTTACATTTAATTTACAGGACTGTTTTTTATTGGTTTATTGATTTTTCTCCTGGTTATTAGTTATTGAGTTTTTTTGTTTCTTGGGAGGTACAGTAATTTTAGACTAGATGTGGGATATTATATTTGTATGTGATTGAGTGCTCAATTTTTTTCTTTTTTCACAGTGTTACACTTTATTTCTGGCAGTAAGTTAAACTTGAAGACTAGTTTATTTTCAGACTTTTAAAAAAAACATTATAGGGAGGGTCTAGAGTTATTAATCTGGGCTAGTTTAGTTTAGACTTACTATTATTATTAGTAGTAGTAGTATTATAACCTTTCTGGAGGTCTCTACTCTGTGCCCCAAGTGTTCATAGAAGTCACTGCATTATAGCTGGTTGGCAATTGAATGTCTCAGCCCTGTGTGAGTTCTGGTTGTCATATTGCTTACAGCTACCTGAATATTCTTTAACTGTACATTTGGAATTTCAACCTATACATGTATACAGCTTAGTATTGAACAAAAAAATTAAGGAGACTCCCTTGCAGATTTCTAGAAGTCTGTCTCTACATAGCTACTTCCTTTATGGTTCTCTAAACACTAATTATCACTGCCTCAGCTCCCTCAAATTCTGATTTGTTTTCTGAATTTAGCAAGATCAACAGGGATCCATCCATGTGACCATGGTCTGGAAAGTTCCTTCCCACAGAAAACCAGTACAATTTTTATATTCGCATTTGTTTTCATTTTCTAAATGTTGAAAGCCCTGCACTGACTGTTGGCCAATGTCTGGAATCAGTTGTTTAATATTTTTTTCTAGTTTTCTAATTGTATAGAGAGGCCAAGTAAGTCTTATTTCCTTATGACTGGAAGAGTTGAGTTTCAATTTTAAAAAGATGCCCGTAAACATAGACATTTGTATTTTTATTTCATTATTTGAAATATTTAAAATTTACTTATGTCAATATATGTAACTTAATTGAATCAATACTTACCTGATAATTTAAAATATTCAAGTATAAAGTTGAAGTGTTACAATTTTCATATACTGATCTTTTTTTTTAAATTTCAGCATATTACGATGGTATAAATGTGTGGGTTACATATATTGCCTTTGCCCCACTCGAGTCAGAGCTTCAAGCATGTCCAACCCCCAGACGGTGCACACCGCACCCATTAGGTGTGTATATACTCAGCCCCCACGCTCCCCATTTGCTGACACTGGATGAATGTTATTACTATATGTGCACTTACGTGTTGATCAGCTAATACCAACTTGATAGTGAGTACATATACTGATCTTTTTAAAGCCACCTAATTTAGATTCCATGAAAAGCAACTTCTAAAAGACACTAGCAAATTTCAGTTGTTATTTTATATTTAAATTAGTTTGTAATATTTTCCAATGTCTTTATATAGTAATATCCAGACAGTTATAATATATGCCCAAAGGTTTTTGTTTTCACACAACACAAATACAAGAAACAAAATGAGACAAAGCTATACAAATTCTAAGGAAAATATTTAAATTTTTGAACTAATTAAAATATGTGCCTTGGTTTGAATTTTGCATTTACTCAAAATTTGTATGATAAACACAAAAAGGATGTATAACATCATTTTCTTTTAAATTGCCTGGTGGATTGAAAAAAAACTACATTTGACATATAGTTTACAAAAAACTGACAACACATTTTCCTTCCTCTTTGACCCTTTTCAAGATCAGCAATTTATATCTTTACTAAGGCTTGTTGGGATTGCTACTGCTCATGTGATTCCCAGGAACTTAACTACTTTTCCTTAACTATGTGAGCTAATAATATTAGATTTATTTAAAAATTGTTTTATTCAGTAAGCACAGACATTCCAGCAGAGGAAGCAGTTCAGAAAGTTTCTTATGATTTCCCCTCTGGATCTTTTTATTGGCAATTTCAGTAAAGGGTGATACATTCCACCATGCCCCCATTGAAAAGGCCAGGTCAGCTTGTTCTAATTCTTCTCAGACTCCAGACACAGTTTACCAGATATGGTCTGTAACTTTCTCCCATCTCTTGAATGCATGCTTTCAGCTTGGCAGGAGGAGCTGGACAGAAAGAGGAAGGAGAACCACAGAAAGAGTGAGGCTCAGGAACCTCACAGTGCTCAATAACCCAGCTGTCATCTAGGGTGGTTACTTTCCCATGCTGCCAACAGCAGAGTTAATCCTGGTTGATTGATTGATTGATTGATTGAGACAGAGTCTCATTCTGTTGCCTAGACTAGAGTGCCTTGACATCAGCCTAGCTCACAGCAACCTCAAAGTCCTAGGCTCGAGCAATCTTTCTGCCTTAGCCTCCCAAGTAGCTGGGACTACAGGCATGTGCCACCATGCCCGGCTAATTTTTTCTATATATATTTAGTTGGCCAATTAATTTCTTTCTATTTTTAGCAGAGATGGGGTCTCGCTGTTGCTTAGGCTGCTCTCGAACTCCTGACCTTGAGTGATCTGCCCGCCTCGGCCTCCCAGAGTGCTAGGATTACAGACGTAATCGATCGTACAGCACTCCGCCCTCAATCTTTATTGATTATCTTCAATAACTATTATTAGTTTTTTTTTAATTGTTTTATCTACTTAGTATTCTTTCCCAAATTGATTTAAGATGGAAAGTAATGAAAACATTCACATTTTACCTCCAGCTCTGAAGTCACAGAAGTGTGGCCACAACAAGGTTTTCAAATGGTCTAAATTACCTTTATGCATACATACACATGTAGATGTATATGAAGTATATATAAATTTATATATATTCCACATATACATATGTACATATACTTTTTTTCTTAAGTTATAAAACTCTGGCAAGGTTTACATGAAAGATGAGATTCCTTATGTCTTTGTTGATGAAGATTGTATTCCCAAAACAAAATTATATCTAAATTTTAGAAAATTTGGTTATTTAGCACTAGGTTGCATTGTCTCAATATTTTAACTTAATTTATTTTGGAACTAGGAATAAGCCTTTAAATGGTGCAAATTTCACATTATCTCTACTTTATTAATGGATTGAAATCTATCACTTTAGTGACCTAAAAATGCCCTAAACTTATAATAGTTTTCCCTCCGCTACAATGAATTTCCCAATTTACTTTTCTGATCAACACCTATTCACCCTTTGCCAGTTCAAATGCCATCTTTATATGATGCTTTTCCCAAGTTTCCCACGTAGTCTAGATGTCTTCTCTGTGATTCTAAAGTACTTTGTAAACATATATATTTATAGCACTAAAAACAACAAAAAACACAAAAAGCATCATGTGCATACGACAAAAATACAGGGGGTTCCAAAAGTCACCATACATAGGGAAAGTGGGAAATTGTACATTTTCCCTATGAACGGCGACTTTTGGGACACTGTATTTATCTTTTAATTGGATTCTATGGGATGTCTTACAAGAAATTTGTTTTAGTTGACCTACTAAATAAAGATTTTATAGTTCAAACAATTTTTTTTATTTTTCTAGCTGTTAAGATATTTAGTTCAAGAAGAAAATCAGTTCAAAGTCTTTGTAAGTATGGCATCTTCTCTACTCCCAATTAGATTGCCCATGTGAGAGATGACTGCGTTCCCCAGGTGCACATTTGAAAGGACCTAACGAACACCACTGAATGTGCTTGCAAGAGGCTTCAGGCTTTGTCTGAAGGTGAGGTACAGAGCAATGAGAGAAAGGGCAGGGGAACTTCCACAGCACAAGCTCCTCACAGGCCCCACCAGACACGTGGACCACGCCAGTCTTTGATTGGAACTTCCCAGAGAAAGAAACTCTCAGCATCCCATTATGTAGTCGAGGAAGTTGTGTCAAAGCCATTAAAGCTAGTTACAAGCCATTGGTAAAGAAACTGATCTTGGCGCTTGCCAAAAGAGTTTGGGTTCTAAACAGCACACAGTATTTCCAATGTTCAAAAACCACACATTTAGGCATCCCCAGTGATGAAGACAGAGCTCTATCTGTACATCTGTAAATTAACTCTTACCTCACAATATCTTTATTCAACAAATATTTATTGAGCATCTACTATAGGCCAGGCACTGCTGGGAGTATAGCAGTGTACCAGATCTATCTGTGACCTCATGGAGCTGACATTCTAACTACATTCTAAAGTTACTCGGGAAGCAGTTTTAGCACATTCAATGCAGAGTTCTCAGTTAACAATGATCGCAAAAACTTGATGTAGTCCTTAAGCTTTAATTATTTCCTTATCAGTTAGACTCTTTTCGCCATACTGAAATCCCACTGACCTACAAACATGAGAGGGATAATATAGATTTAATTTAATCCTTGAGTTTTTGACTGTGTGTTACCCAGCGATACAATACAATAATATTGAAGAGAAGCCAAACACACAAAAAATTCCATGCTGTCTGATTCCATTTCTTAAAACATCAAAACCAAGCAAAACTAATCCCAGGTATTAGATAGATGTCAAGATACTGGTTACTGTTGGGGGTATAGTGGCTGGAAGGGAGCAAAAGGGTTCCGGGCTCTCCGAGTTGCTAGCTATTTTCTAATATTTAATTCGGAAGGTAAGAACACAGGTGTATTTATATTGTGATAATTCATTGAGCTTCACACTGATAATTCATGTATGTTATATATTCTTCCAACTAAAATATCAGCACTAAGTCCCTGTCATAGGTTCTGTTTCCAGTAAACCTAGGCTAACACAATAAACTAATTTTGAAGGCGCTCCAAGTGTGTGGTTGAATTGGTTTAGGTCTTGCTGAATCTTCCCCATGGGGGCCGCCTCCAGTTTCACCACTTCCCTACAGGTGCCCAGCCCTTCCTGAGGGTGAGGGTCTACCGTTAGAGAAAGAGAGCAGCCAGAAGAGGAATGTAATTCTACAGGAGGCAGCGATGGCTCAACAGGTGTTGAAAGGCTGCTTTCAGCCTACCAAAAGCTTGGGACATTAGAAAATTAAATAAATAAATAGCAAAAGAAGTTTTTCTCTATGTTCTATATTGCTAGTATTAGCTATATATCATTGAATGTTCCTTGAAAGCAATATAGTCGATTATTACTATTATTATGGTTAATTATATATTATGGACTATTATTTGCCAATATTACTACTACTATGAATATTAATTACATATATTTTTGAATGCTCCTTGAAAGCAGTATAGACTTTGTATAAACATTTTCTCTCATGTTTATAATAATTCTCCAGTGTTGGTATTGTTCCCCTATTCAACGGATTAGAAAAATGAGGCTCCGAGAAGAATAGACTGGCCTAGTAACAGGAAAGTCAGTCACGGAGTGGCAATTCGCACATAAAGCTCCCCATTGTTAGTTGGTCCTTTTTGTGGTTTTTTTTCTGAAGTTGCTAGAAGTTTACAAAAAAGGAAGTGCAGGCACATTTCACAATTCTACAATCTGTAAGTATCACATCCTGTGTGGCCGCAAACACTAGACTAAGGAAGGGCCAGTGACTTTCAAAAGATGAAGACAAGGAGGAACTATTGATAGGAGTGCCGAGGACCCAGGGTTAAAACCGCTTGGGAGCTTCTGAGAACTCAGCTGAAACCACGGGCACAGGTAGGCAGTGCTGGTCCACAGGCACAGGTGGGCAGTGCTGGTGCACGGGCACAGGTGGGCAGTGCTGGTGCACGGGCACAGGTGGGCAGTGCTGGTGCACGGGCACAGGTGGGCAGTGCTGGTCCACGGGCACAGGTGGGCAGTGCTGGTGCACAGGCACAGGTAGGCAGTGCTGGTCCACGGGCACAGGTGGGCAATGCTGCTCCACAGGCACAGGTGGGCAGTGCTGGTCCACAGGCATAGGTAGGCAGTGCTGGAAAACTTTTCTTAGCTCACCACTCCCTTGCTTTGACCCCCTTAGAGAGGCAATTTAACTTGAAGCTCCTTGAGACAAGTTCAGAGACGCTAGAGCATTTTGTAAATTGAATGGGCAAATGTTTTTATAAACATTTTCTTTAGTTTCTCTGGAGTATCTGGTTTTAACTCTATTGCTTCTGTTTTCTCACTGCGTGATCTTGGTGAGTCACTTACCTAAGGTCATGTAATTAATGGGAGAAGAGCTCTTGTCTCTTCAAATGTCCTTGGGCAATTTGAAAACTGGACAGTCCATAAGCCGACAACAGCGTAGTGAAAAGAGATCCAAGCTGAGTTCAGGCTCTAACACCGTGGGCAACTTGGTCCTTATGCCAGCAAGTGCAGTGATCAGCCTTGATGTTAGGACTCCAAGACTTATTTTCATACCACTGTAGGTAGCTGCTTCACACAACTGAATAAACTCAGACACAGGCATGCTATCGCTAGGTGGGAAAGTAGGAAGTGGTAGAATGATTTATAGAATTATGCAAAGAGTTCGGACTTGGGGATAGCTGGCACCCAAGACTGGTTCTACAGCTTCCCACTTGTGTGAACAGGGAAAAGCAATAATGATAACTGCAAATGCTTCTTCAGCACTAACTCTAAGCCATGCATATATGCAAAGTGTACTATTTATACTCATAACTTAAACTTTTTGATTCTGAATTTTCTTATCTATTGTGTGCTTTTGCTAACTAACATGCAGGGTTGTTGTAAAGACTAAAAGCACTGTAGGATAATGTCTAATAAAATATGATAAAACTGTCTAGGGTTAATGCTCATAAATAGTATTACTAGACAAAAAAATAAATGAGCATAGTTACATAGTCTGAGTAATACAGAACCTGGATAGGAAAAGAGTGAAGATGAGAATCCTAATCATATCTCAAGACTGGTGGGGTAGTTTGAGGATGAAATTCATGAAATATATGGCAATGCAGTTGCTGTAGGCAGAACTGGGGGGAAAGGATATTGCTGCATATTGCAAATTTTGTGTGATCATTTGCCTCTGAACATAGGGACCTCTCAAGATTCATGCTTCTGCTGTCTTGTGATGTGTTTATTATCTATAATTAATGGACTGTGTCAAACATTATGGAGAAATTGTCAGGAAACCAAGGTTTTGTGGTTTTAACTGTTACCAGTGAAAAACAGTGGTTTCCATACAATACTACCAGTTTCTTTCCCTAAAGGACAGGCCAAGTCTGGACTAATAGACAAAAAACTGACTTACAGAGTCAAGACCTAGTAGCTCTGAACTTTTTAAGAGATAAATTTATTTATTTTTTCCAGCATTGGCAGCACCATCATGATATCGCAACCCATGACCAATGAGACCATTGTAGTGCTCTCAACAAATGACATGAACCTCTCCCAAGCAACGGGACCCCAACCCACAAACAAGAGGCAAGATAGCCTGAAGAAATATCTAAGGGATGAAGTCAACGTTATTGGGGTAAATCCAATTCAGAACATGTTGAAGAGGAGTGAGGGAAGAGGGAAAACACTATGTGTGACTTGGGACTAGACATCCATTGTGAGTGTGGAGACCCTTAAATTTTGTCAGAGGGACTCTAGGCTGATCTGCAGGTCTGTGGAAGCCACTTGGAGAGCTGTTTAAGTTTTCTCAGAACTTTATTGCAAGAGTTATTTCTAAAAATATTTTTTTTCCTTATCCTGAATACAAACGATTGAGTTTTTGATATATTTGTTGTTTTTGTAATTTGCAACACGGCACTTCTCTATATTTTCTTTTACAAAAGTCATGGTGGTAAATGATAACAGATTTTATACACATTTTTCTATGTGATCATTAATTGCATGTTTAATAATCCATCTTGATTTTTTGAAAGGAATTTTTCCTTCACTGCAAATTATGGGAAAACACAATTCCTCCCGCTCTTTTCTCCTCTCTTTATGAAATGATATTCACCTTTTGTTTGTCTCTTTTGTCTCTCTCCTCTAATGCAGGATTTATTAAAGAAACTCTGTTGAATGAAGGGAAGAGGAGATCTATCCTGGACTGGGAGGGAAAGCTAGGGTTTTGGTGTCTAGGATTGTCTCTGCAATCACACCATCTCAGGCGGAGCACTCAGTGTGACTAGGTTCCATAACCTGGTGGGTCTCATTTCCCTGCCTCGTACATACAATCATATGGGGTCCTGTGAGGCTCACAGGTGGACATCAGCAAGGAAAACGTCCCCTGTTAAGAAGATAGAGCTTTAGGATCCTCAGTTGCAGAGACACGGAGCCAGGCTCCATGTTGTGTCAGGTGGGCTCTAGGGGATGAGGGGAGGGACCTCCACACCACCCATGTTCAAGAGAGTGTGAGGGCTTTCATATGTCTCCTGTTCCCATAAGAGGTAGAACGAGAGTCCCTAGTCATGGATTCAGAGAGCTGGGAAAACAGATTCCAGCATTTGCCATGAGCTGGGAGCAAGGGTCCCAGGCAGACCGGAGCCTGAGAGGCAGAAAGACTTTAAGACTTGCTGAGCATTTGCCCCATGGCTTGGGACAGTGGCTTTCTGTGGCAGAGCAGCATCCCCTCCAGAATGTCTTTTCATATTTCTCACTCCAGAGCTTGTACACGGTCTGTATCCCCACTGGAATCTTGCAAAAAATGATAATGCGTTAGTGTCATGGGGGTCGGGGGGTGGGGGTGGGTGGGAAGGACCTGTCTTTACAAATGCTGGTTTTAATCCTCCATCTTCCTTCCTCTTCCAATAGGCTATCCAGATCTTTTGTGGCGTGATGATCTTGAACTTGGGAATCATTTTAGCGTCGGCTTACTTCTCTCCATATTTTACTCGTGTGTTTTCTACCCTGTTGAAGTCGGGTTACCCATTCACAGGATCCTTGTGTGTGAGTAGAGTTCCTGAGGAGGGCAGGATCAGGTGGAGAGGGGAGGAAGATGCCAGCAGCTTAGACTCACTCCTCAACTGCCACCTTGCTATGTTTCTGTCTGCCAGGAGCAAGGAGTCGATGGTGGGACTTCTCCTATATGTGTAGTTCAGGGAAGGACTGAGTGAAGTAGTATGAAAGGAGTTGCCTGATTTTCGATCTCTTTCTTTTCTGGATCAAATAAACATTTCTTTTGAAGATCATTTATTTTTCACCTTATCATCTTGAGCTACGATGAGGCCAGTGGCTTCTTTACAGGTTTAGGCAAAAATCCAGGAAGTAGGAGAAAGTTGAGAAGGACATTTCTCTACAGTAAAATGAGCATCAGTGGAGGACATCAGCCACTCACAGAGGAGTCACACAGATGTTTGTGGGGATCATGGAGGAAGAAGCACTTTGAAAATGATTTTTGCTGCCTTTAGTAGTTCCCAGGGCAGGCTGAGCAGTTGTTTATGCTTCAGTGATGTCCTGGAAGTGCCTCTGAAACAGTTCCATGTCTGGGTTGTCAAGAGGACTTAGCAGTCCTTTTCTCAGAGGACAGCTTTCTTCTAGATTGATATGAGTGAGTCTTTCTCATAATTAAGCTTCACTGTCACAGTTTTTTGTGCCATCAACTTCTCACAACTCAGACGAGATCAGGCACGTCCAGGGTGGTAGGACTGTAGACAACTTCCTGCAACTCAGTAGCTATGACTTGCCTTTTCTACATTTGTTTCTGTAATGCATCCAGAAGTCCACCTTTTTGTCAATCTGGTCCATTTTTCTTGTTTTATTAAATTCAACACTTTATTTGAATTTCACCAGTTTTCCCCATTATCCTTTTTCTGTCCCAAGATCCATTCAAGGATACTGCATTACATTTAGTCACTGTATCTCCTGGGGCTACTCTAGACTTTCTCAGACTTTCCTTTCCCTCAATGGCTTTGAAAGTTTTAAGTAGCACTAGCCAGGATTTTTGTAGATTGTTCTTAAATTGGGGTTTGTCTGATACTTTTTTCATGTTTAGACTATCGTGATGAAATTTTAGGTGAAGATGACAGAGGTAAAGTTTCATTTTTATCAAGTCATGTCAAGGGTACATGCTATCAACATAATGTCACTGATGAAATTAACTGTGATCATGTGGTTGAGGTGGTATCTTTTGAGTTTCTTCACTGTGAAGTTACTACATCTTTCCCTCTTTGTATTCTCTACTTTTTAGAAGTCAATCACTAAGCACAGCCCACATTTGGAGAGGCATGTAGTCAATTTTTTTAAGACTCAGCATTTATTTATATAGACAAATTACTTAATGCCAGGGTCACAGGAACCACGGCTTTTCTTCTGTTTTGTCCTGGTTTTTGTTGTTGTTGTTGTCAAATAATTTTCTATGACTTAGCTTCTCTTAATCTATTAGATCATGAATTATTTAGAGAGTGAATACTTTCTTTGATTTTTTAAAACACAGCCTTAGAGGCGTCCTGCCATCCAATCTGGTCCTTCTTTCTGCTTTCATTTATTGTTTTACCTTAGCATGGGGAGCCATCAAATTAAAACCTATGTCTTTGTCTTCTCATATCTGTTAGCTTCCCCCATGATTTTTTTTTAAAGAATGAATACCAACCTTTCTTAACCTCTTCCAAAAATAGAAGAGGAGGGAGTACTTCCAAACCCATTTTACAAGACCATCATTACCCTGATATCAAAGCCAGGCAAAGACATTACAAGGAAAACAAACAAACAAACCATCTACTGGTCAACATCACTAATGAGCATAGTGGCTAAAATCTTCAAGAAAATACTAGCAAACTGAATCCAACAGAACATTCAAAAGATCATTCACCATGATCAAGTGACATTTATCCGAGCGAGGCAAGGATGGTTGAACATACATAAATCAATAAATGTGGAACATCACACCAGTATATTGAAGGACAAAATCCACGTGATTTTCCCCTATTATTATTTTTTTCTATATCATTTCTTTTAGGTCCTTCTCTAGAGAACATCTTACTCCAAAATTTTCTCATCTAATTAAAAACAAACAACTTCTTCCCTGGGTTTTAAAGTCCTCGTTTTGTTTGTAGGATGGATTCCTGCTCATATCTGCTTTTTATTTTTTCTCATGCTATCTGAATGCTATACAGGCAAGAAGGACAAATTTATATATTTAAATGGGTCTCACATTTTTGGTCATTGGCTTCCCAGAGCTTTTCCCATGGGAGTTTTCCATAAGCATCGTGATAGTAACACTGTAATAACACTGCACATGAAAATCGTAGAAACTGACCTGACCATTTTCTCTCTTTTCTGAGCAGTTTATCGTTTCTGGCTCTCTCTCAGTCATCACGGACAAAAGGTCAACTAAGACTTTGGTGAGTATGAGAACTGTCACCCACAACCTGATGGACCAAAATGAAACTTAGAACCCTTCACAGCCAGTTTCTCCACCCTGAAAAGTTAGAAACTAAGTTCCAGAGCAGTTCTCGGCCTGGATCCTCCACATCCATGTTCAGAGCACAGTTCTCCAATTATTGTGCCTTAAATCAAAGTCTACACTCAGGGTACTGTATTATTCCCTAGCCCAGTGCCCAGGAATCTATTTCGGAAAAATTCTCCTTACTTATGATGCCATTTTGCTGATAACCGGTTTTCAAATTTAGGTCTTCAGTGGTGAAGAAGCTGATAGTGTTATAAAGAGCTCTATTTGTTGCGGTTTACTGATATGCCCATGAATTAAAACCCTTGAGAAACCCAGTCAAAATGCTGTTCATATGAGAGATTGTCTCATTTATCTCATTCTTTCATTTGCCTCACCAGGAAGCCAATAATTTTATTTTGTTTGAATATAAATTTTTGAAAGCTAAAAGTTGTTATTAGTCATTTGTACTGGTAAAGGAAAAAAAAAAAAAACAACTTTATCTGCCCCTATCCCTTATTCTAGGAAAAACTAGGATCGAAAGTGGCAGGGAGTGGAAATTTGGATTACAGGGAAAAGTTTTCTAGTCTGTAAAGTTTCACTGTGTCTTCACTCAATCCTACATCCCTCAAGGGGTTGTTGTTGGAGGTCACGTGAGAGAATGTCATGTAACGCAATCGCACAGAAACTCAGTTTGGAAGCTCTGGCTAGAAAAAGCTCCCAAAGACAGCAAGGAAATGAGACACAGAGCTCAAGACAATGCCAATATCTCTTTTTCTCTCACCAGAATTTAGAGATTGTTATTTGGAACCCTCAACTAGACTCCAAACCACTAGATCTGTGCTGTTCAATAGATCTTTCTGTGATGACAGAAATGCACCATATCCATGCTGCCCAATATGTAGCTATGTGTGGCTATCAAAAACCTGAAATGTGGCTAGTATAACTGGATTTTAAATTTCACATAATTTTGCTTTAAATATAAATAGCCCATGTAACTAGTTACAACCATATTGAATAGCATGGCATAAGAGTAATGTTCCCAGATGTCCAGGGGGAAATACATGAGGCTTTTACCCCTGAGAACAATCCCACTGTGGGTGTGCAAGAAGCTCAAGGAGACAGGATGTGGTCTCAGGATAGACTCTACCTCAAGAAAGACATCTAGCCTTTAGTGAATTCTACTCGTTTTTTTAAAGTTTTATTTATTTATTTTTTAATCCATGATATTATAGGGGTACAAACATTTTGGTTACATGTACTAATGTGTTTGCCTCACCCAAGCCAGGGCTACAAGTGTGTCCTTCCCCCATACGGTGTGTTCCACTTCCATTAGCGGTGGGTTTGTCCCCATCTACCCCACTCCCCGACTGGTACCCCAAGAGTATTAGAGATTGGAGCACTTTGCTGGTGGGACTACAAATTAGTACAACCCCTGTGGAAAGTAATTTGGAGATACCTCAAAGAGCTAAAAATAGAAATATCATTTGATCCAGCAATGCCACTACTAGCCATCTATCCAAAGGAGAAAAAAAGACATTCTATCATAAAGACATCTGTGCTGGAATGTTTATAGTGAATTCTACTCCTGTCACATATTATAATAGCCCTTTTTGAGACTGAAGAAAAGCACCACCTGAGAACAAAGATAGCTTATTCTAAGAAATACATACTCCAGGCATCATGACTAACGCTGGCTGTCAGGAGGCCCAGGAACACGCACTTTAGTCATGGCTTGGGGGAACTGGGGCCCCAAAGCATCAACTGCTGAGTTCCTAAAAGAAGAGGGCCCTGTACAGGACTGAGTGACACCCCAACGTGTGGCTGTCGAATGGGCCCTGGAGCCCGGCAACCTATCGCTATCGCTTTTCCAGGGGGCTGAACTCAATTCTGTTTCCTGTGGGTTGGGACAGAAGGGAAGCCATTTCTCCATCAGCATATTCATTTCACTCGCTCCATTAATGTGCACACCAGACCCAGGCTGTGAAGTGAAACTGAGGAGCTGAGGAACTGAGTCCCCAAGGAAACAGAGCAGAGGCAACCCCAGCATTGTGGATCTCGGTTTCCTAACATCACTCCAGACCTTTTCTTCTACCTCACACTGCCTTCCACACATCACACCGTCCTTGGCCCTGCATCTAGACCTCTGCCCACAGCCATCCATACGTGGTCCTCGATATCCCCGATCATATGCCTGTCCAGGCTCCTAGGCCTGCCCGAGACTGAGAACCATGTCCAGAAGGGTGTGCTTCCGAGGGAGGCAGCGTGCAAAGAAGAGCAAACTGCTGCACCTGCCTTTTCTGTGTGACTGGTGCTTCCACGTGGGGTTTCTGAATGAGTTGTGGGAGAGAGACTATATCTGGAATGCTGTCCCCCTTGCTTTTGGTCACACTCCCTTGGTGATTTAGCAGGCAAAGCCTCATGGAGGCCCTGCTGTCAGCCCAGGGTAAGGAACTTAGGAGGGCATCATTCTCTGCCACACCACTGAAGTCCTACCGAAGGGGGAAAGCTTCTGTGTGTTAATTCGCTCAGCCAAGATTTGCCTTCCAGCTTCAGAGACTTTTGCTAGCCCCTGGGGAGCCAGGCATAAATGAATGGTCAATCCCAGACCACCTGAAGGAAACAGATATAAGGGAATATTTTGTAGTGTAATGGCAGAGAGGTGTAAGAGACATTTGCTGCTCATTAGGAGTGATCCTTACTCACTATTTCTCTTTCAGGTTCGCGGCAGCCTGGCTGGAAGCATTCTGAGCACTCTGTGCGCTCTAGTGGGTTTCATTCTCCTCTCTGTCACCCTGGCTGCTTTGACTCCTGCTTCACTGGAGTGTCAGTTGGACAACGATAACAGGCCCACTCAAGCTTACCATTATTACTTTTTTTTTCATTCATATATGAAGGACTGCTTTATTGGTGAAAGCAGCCTGTTTGTAAGTATATTTTAGATGAGATGTTCTAATTTCATGAGGCTGAAATTAGAACATCTAATTTCCTTTTCTGAAAGCTTTGATGTCTTGTTATTCCTTCTTTTGAAAATCTTTCTGTTCTTTCTGGTTTGGGCATTTGGGGGAAGGCCATGGTCATGTAAATGAAAGGGGACTATGTGGATGAGATTAAGGGGCTAGACTATGGGATTACATACTAATAGAGTGAAATTGAAGAGTAATGTCAAATAAGGTTGATAATTAAAAAAACCTTAAAACTTATTGTTGGCAGAGTTTCTTAATTATCAAACTAATTCCATTTTAGAGGCATAAAATATGAATTTATCAAACAGAATCTTGGCATATGGATTGGTTAATTAAGAAAGGCAAACAAAGCCCCGGTGATCAGTAAATGCCAACAAGGAAACCTGGCATGTGTCTGCAGTGGGGAGTCACCCTGAGCTGGGAGGACATCAGACCCAGCACTAAGAAATGGAGAATAGAAAACGGGGCTAGAAAGCAAGGTCACCTCATTGCAGTGACCACAGTAACTAGTAGTACTGGTCAAGTGAGATGGAAACACCGTTGTTGCTTTTTGTTATAACTTAAAGAAGTGTGATATATTAAATCAGGAGATGAAAAATATAGGGAGATGGAGAATGTTAACTGATAATGATTGCAAGGAAAACCTATCTCTTCAGAACAATGAAAGCAATGACGTTTGCTTAACAGAAATAATATGTCTTAAGTTGGAAGATTAAGGGGCATGCATATCATCAGCAATGCATTGAGAGAAAAAGCAGGCAACGTAAGAATGAGGAGGTTGTAGAATATTTATTGTCCTGCTATCATAAAGTTGGGACAAGCCAAAGACTCAGATAGAAGATGGACAGATAGAAATGTCTGGTCAAATTCATGCTTATAGCCAATTCCTTATAAAGCTGGCTTTGCTTCTCCCCAAGTGAATGATATTATAATGAGAAAAAGTACATGCAAATGAGGTGGATAGTAATTGGTATAAATTACCACCTGGCACAGACAATTCCACCTTGGAAAAAATTCTGGAGAGAAGTTTGAGAGGAGTCTTTGTAGTGGATACAGTATAAATTTATGATGGGACAATTTTACATTATAAATAAGGGATATTCTGTTGAGCTTGCTTGCTGGGACAATTTCTAGGTAATGGAGACAAGTTGTATCTCCCTTTAAACTGTGTGTAAATTCTGTGAACTTGAGATGTATGCAATCAAATAATCTCCATTTTTTTTTTTTTATCAGATAGCTAGTTCTGCATGAAGGATGCCTCAAGAGAGAAATGGTAGAACCTCCCTCTTGGTGTAGTTTCTTTTTAATTGGTCTGAGTTATTAGCAACTGTGGCAGTTTGCTACCTTGATGGTTTTTTTTCTAACTCTTACAGCCACCAAAACAGCCCCCCCCCCAAAAAAAAAATCCAAAACGGTTTAGATATATAGAAAGGGGTGGAAATGTTGAATTGTAAAAAGATCTTGCACAGTCAAAACCTATGAATCTTCACAAGTCTCCCAGAAGGAAATATTATCATGCATGTTTGATAAACGAGGAAACAAGAGCTAGAGAAGGAAGGAGACTTGTCCGGGCTCACATAGCTACTAAGCAGGAAAAGTGTGAGTAGAATGGGAGCTGTTGATTCTCCATCCTGGGAGTCGTCACCCCACTCTCCTTTCTTACTGAGTGAACAGTGTCATCAGAAGTATGTGTCTCAAAGAGGTCAGAAACAAGTGTATAAAGTGGGTTGGTTGATTTAGCTCCCACTCATTGCCTCTTCTCCTCCCAAGAGAATAAATGAGTGAAGAGATTAAACTGAGCCAGCTGTGAGTTATGGAAGGATACTATTCTCTTCTTGACAATGTCCTTACTTTGTTCTCTGATGGTCAAGATGGTGTTTATCTCCACAGTCACCTCCCAAACAGGCACGAAGTTTTCGGTTGACTCAAGAAACACCAACCTCTTATTTCCTGACTTTCAGGGAACGTTGTCTCTGATGCTGGTTTGCACAGTGCTGGAGTTCTGCCTAGCTGTGCTCACTTCCGTGCTTTGGTGGAAACAAGCTAACTCTGACTTCCAGGAGGTGAGTGTGCTGGCCAGCCTCACTGAATCCCGCCGGCTGTATTGAGCTATGGCACCAAGAGTGGCAGAAGAAACAATCGGTTGGTCATGAGATATACGTGGGAGGCGGTTTTGATGGTGATGGAAGACAGTCAGATAAGGAATGGAAATTTAAGTAGCTGACCAGCTGAGGATCACTGGATATGAAGATAGTTAAGCCTGAGAAATCAACTTTTTCAATTCTCCCATTTTTCCAGTGAAAGAACTGATGCTCTGGGAAGTTAAATGACTTGCCTGGCATTATGCTCTGAGCTTGTGCCTGTTCTTAAGACATGAGAACCTGGCGGGCCTCCCTTCTAAGCAAGGGTAAATTCAGCCACAGCCACTAGTCTCCTTAACAGTCTCGACTTGGTGAAGGGCACTTGAACATGTGACTGGACTCAGTAAATGTCTTATGCTCTGCTTTCCCCTTCTTGTGATTTTAAAATTCTTTTCTCCCCTAAAAAATATAAAAAACTATTGTTGAATCAAATTACATGGGACACTGCACTACCACAACCATGGATTCATGTCTTCATTTAACAGAATTAAAAAGCTTTGATTTGTCCAAAATTGTATTGTAGAGAACTGAATGAATACTAGGCTAATGAACAGCAATTATATGAAGAATTTTATGATATGCCACACTCATCTTGGAATAGCTAAGAATCCTATGTATAAAGTTGGATGAAATGGCATCAAGATATATTTGAATATATTTAACATATATATAAAAAGTTGAACCTGAGTGAAGTCTGAAAATATATTTTGTTTCTTCTAGGTTGTGCATTTCCTGCCTCAGAATTACACGGATGCATCCAGCACGCACTCAAGGAAAGGTGGCCGTGGATATCAAGAGCTAGGGAATCCTTAGGAAAAAGGGCAGGGGTTGGGGGTGGAATATTCATCAGAAAGTTGGTCTTTTGGATAATGTAGAAAACCTAATAATTATTTAAAAGGCATTTTCCTAAATGTGAGCTTGTTAGGCAATGAACATTTTTAAAAATTGTTCTCTTCTAATTGCATAGATATGTTGAATGAGGGTCTATTGATTTGCCTGATATTGACTTCAACAAAAGCACAGAGCTATAAATTACCTTTTCCTAGACTGTTAAAATAGTCATATATGGTACTGAGAAAACTAGGCAGAATGAAGATGATTCAGTGGGTCTTGGTGGTGCAAAGGAGACATTTTTTCTTGTACCCCTTAATTGTCAACATGAGTTAACTGAGTTTTTGGGGTGTTCAGACTCCTTTATAATAGGCTATAGCGTTTTAACACATGTACTTTACTCATTAGTATATGGAAACAAGTTCCCTATGATGAATTTCAGGGTGTATAAAAGTAGCTGGCTTCAAAATAAAAATATTTGAGTGCATATTTTATTTGAAAACTGACTTTGCTATTTTTCCTTTAAACACAGAGTAAGTAAAAAATGATAGATATAAACCTAAATTTGAACAGCCTCTTCTCACCACCAAATAAATATTCAAACAAAACAAATAAGCAAACAGAAGCAAATCAGGAACACTTCTCTGTCCAAAAGAGACAACTGGTTCATAATTTTTTTCCTTATTTCACAGCAAGAAAGAACAATTGTTCAAGTGTACATGTTAAACCTTAGGACGCACACACAGAGATGCAGACAGGTTTTTTCAATTTCGTATGGACTCCATTTCTTTGAAAGATCTTGTCACGTTTTCCTTGGCCTGACCCACCATGGCAGGGGTCACACTCATAGTGTCAGATCTTTGAGGCTCAATTTCCCTGCTGTTTTTCCCCAGTCTGGGACTGGAATGTTAGTTTCTTCTGATTTAGCTTTTTCTGCAAGCTCTCTCTTCATTGATACTTATTGGGCACTGGACACTGTGCTTGATGCCAGGGTGACCATGGTGAATAAGATATGCTCCTTGGCTTCAAGGAATTTATAGTCAAATAGGGGAAAGAAAGATGACGGTGAAATTGTCATAGAGGGCACCAAACACTATTTCGAGCACAGAATAAAGAATACCTTATCCTGCCTAAAAGAAAGTAGATAACAAATGAGAGAGAGAGAGAAAGAGAGCTTCCTATGAGAATTCTCTCTCCAGTGTCAATCGCATGCTGCCACCTGCCTGCCACAGGGAGGAATTCGACCCAGAATACACAGTTGATGTATTTATCTACCATGCTCCCTCTCCAGGTTTGTTCCTCACCCCTCTCCACCATATCTTCATCACCACCACACCACCACCTGCAAAATTTCTGGTATCCAGAGTCCCTCCAGAGGGCTTCTTTTCAAATTTGGTTTGTTTATCAGAGAAGGTGGACAGCTCTTTAGGCAGCACTCAAAGACACTCTTTCTCCTCGCCTCAACCTAACTGCTAAGTCAGCCGTCCATATGTTTTCTTTCAAGTAGCAACGCCCCTCCAGCCTGAGCCAAAGGAGAGTGGCGTCCACCTTGAGGTAAGAGGATGTACTGAAATAACATTTGTATAGCAGTTACCATTATATCTGACACATGGAAGATGCTCAGTTAACTTGAGTTTTTTTCTCTATTTTCTTCCCTTCTATTTTGATTTCGATCCCCCAAGACTAAAATAAATGTTAACCCGAATACACCTCTGGGACTTTGAACCTGATTGTTCTCATCAAATCTTCTATTGCTTCAAGAAAGTCTGTAGAACTCTCTAAACAGGGAGTCTCGGACTGTGTAATAAACTTGCTTTCCCTTTGTTGCGGAGAAAGATGTTAGCATTAATGGCCTTTTTCAGATTCTACACCGTTTACTGACACCTTGTGGTGATAATGAGGAACAATTTTGCCCTCCAGATAATCAGAAAACACAAACTGTGGGGCTAATTGTATCTTCCTGGAGAATTTTCTGGAAGCAGCTAACTTGACCATAGGAAATCACACCTGCAACCTTTGTCCTTTACAGTGTCTCTACATGTCATCAGTAGGGGTAATTAATAATAAATGATTATTTATTATTTACATCTGCAAAAAATATGTACCACACTATAACTATCAGAGAGCTGGAATGGCTATATTCATATCAAATAAAATATACTTTAAAATAAGAAATCTTACTAGAGAGAAAGAAGAACATTTTTGTAATGATAAAACTGCAGGAAGATACAATTGTAAGTAAATGTGACCTAACAGTGAAGCCCCAAATATATGAAAAAAGAATGATAGAATTGAAAGAATTTGAAAATTCACCAGTAATAGATGAATCTTAACCTATTCTTATTTATTCATAAAAAAAACTAGACAGAAAATCAAGAAAGAAATAAAAGACTTAACCCTCTCAACCACTTTATATATATATATATATAT